CAGGCAACTACAGTCTATCAAGTAAATAAAGTCCCTACTACATTTAATGAGTTGACCACGTTTCCACCTGAAGACCAGAAAGTGTGGAGAGGTGCAATGACTAAAGAAATACAATCTTTGCAGAATTTGAAAGTGTATGAGTCTGTAACAATTCCGAAAGAAAAACTATACTCGGTAGTAAGTGGATATATAAATTAAAGACTGGGATAGATGGGATACCAATATATAAAGCTAGGCTGTAGCTCAAGGATTTAATCAGTCTCCTAGTGATTATGATGAGGTATTTGCTCCAAGCTTAAAAGCCATTACATTAAGAGCAGCGTTGGTATGGGCAGCTAGAAATAAATATATAGTTAACCATTTAGATGTAGAGACGGCATATCTGCATGCACCATTACAGCATGAAATTTATTTAAAGAAACCCTCAGGATTTGAGGAAAATGGGAAGGCTGACTGTTGGTTATTAAAGAAAAGTCTGTATGGGTTAAAACAGTCAGGTTATGAATGGAACCAGTGCATTGTAAAAACATTGAAGAATATCAGATTTAAAGCAGGATTAGCAGATCCATGTTTATTTAAAATGGAAAGGGATGGTATAGTATCATTATTACTTCTTTTTACGGACGATATAGCTCTGATTACAAAGAATGAGCAAGAGGCCAACAGGATTGTTGATGAATTAAAAGCTCATGTCAGGATCTAGGGGGGATACAACACCTAGGTGTAAGGATCGAAAAAACTAGGGGAGGATTTAAATTATCCCAAACTGATAAAATTAATAATCTATTAAAATAGTTCAGAATGGAATTGTGTAAACCATCAAAGACACCTATGGTTCAAGATTATTGCAACACTGATGTGAAAAATCCGTTGTTTGATAAAGGGATATACCAATCGTTGATTGGCAGTTTATCATACATTAGCAATTGGTCTAGACCCGATATTTCTTATAGCGTCAACCAATTAGCTAGATTCAACACAGAACCTACAGAAAGACACTGGCAAGGAGCAAAACGTATTCTTAGATATCTGAAATATACTATGCATCATGCATTATATCTACAACCATCAGAAGAATTGCACGTAACCACTTATGCGGATACTAGTTTCGCAACAGATGTGAATACAAGAAAATCAACCTCAGGAATCACTGTATTTCTGGGAAAATCTTTGATATGGTGGCGTTCTATAAGACAGAAGCTTTTAAGTATGTCTACAATGGAAGCAGAGTTTTCTTGTTTATCTTTGTTATGTACGGATTTGATCAGTATTAAGCAGCTGATGCTAGATTTAGGAATAGATATACAAGATCCTATAATAGTATACGAAGATAATCAGGTAGCGATAAAAATGGCGACAAATATAGCTGTAAAGACTAGAACAAAACATACAGATCTTCGGTATCTCAATGTAAGAGAATGTATAATGAACAAGATGATAGAACTTGTATATTGTGCATCAGAAAACAATGTGGCTGATCATTTCACAAAAGCACAAGAAAGTAGGAAACATATAGATACATGTGAACAGTATGGTTTAAGATTGTAAATATATTAGTCTACCCAAAGGGAAAAATGTTGGATGCTTATCCTACGGTTGGGTAGGTAATATATAGAAAACTATGATCTGTAACTTTAACTGCTACAAGATGACTAATTGGCTGTGCTAAGCAGACATAAAAGAAGGCAGGAAGTTCATTCACTTCTGCTCCTGCTATTAGAAGGTTGAACTGGTGAAAGGAACTGTGTCTGTGTTACTGAAGAGAACTGGAATTGTAAGCAAACTATGTTTTTGTGTTGAACCGTGATTATTTGAAGAAGTGTTATCTTTGTTTTGAGAAGCGAAGTTTGCTTTTTTTTAACTACAAGTAAAGACTGTTTATTTTTCTTTAAACGTTCAGAGTCTGTGAGTATCTGTGTGTTTTGCTAAGCAACGTATCTATTCGCTGTCTGGTCCGTTGCACCACTTTGCAAAGGGCAGTTTTACCCTCAACATTAGTTCCTTTTTGAATAACAGTATTAAATATATATGCAACATTTCTGTAATGCTGGAATAACATTGGGCATAAGAAAAACATTTTTCCTACTTTCATTCAGCTATCTTCATTAATAGGTAGAGCAGAGAATGCTGCTGATTAATAAAACACCAAGGTTGATAGATGGCAGAGGAAGAGCAAATATAGTTAACCTCAGTTGGCCGGAAATAACATGTTAAGTAATGAGCAAGGAGAATGTTGGATGAGAGAATGGAGGAAGTTTTAAAATATATGGTTGCCAAGGTACTAGAATTCTCTTGATATTAGCATTCAGGTAGCTAACCTAAATATAGGAAAATGCTTCATGCCTAACATACACTTGCTTATTATGAATTGATAGCAACTATCATTCAGCTCTTAAATCCCTGGTGGAGAATAGGCAATGAGAAGCTATTTCTTTATTTTAGACTGGAGGGGAACTGGAGACTAAAACATATAAAGAACGGTTGCTGGAATTGGGTATATCTAGTTTGATGAAAAGCAGAACTAGGAGTGACATGATAGCAATGTTCCAATATCTCAGGGGTTGCCACAAAGAAGAGGGAGTCAAGCTGTTCTCCAAAGCACCTGAGGGCAGGACAAGAAGCAATGGGTGGAAACTAATCAAGGAGAGAAGCAACTTAGAACTAAAGAGAAATTTCCTGACAGTTAGAACAATTAATCAATGGAACAACTTGCCTCCAGAAGTTGTGAATGCTCCAACGCTGGAAGTTTTTAAGAAGAGATTCGATAATCATTTGTTTGAAATGCTATAGGGTTTCCTGCCTAAGCAGGGGGTTGGGCTAGAAGACCTCCAAGGTCCCTTCCATCTCTGTTATTCTATTCTATTCTAGTCATCTGTTGTGCTGTATAATCCATTATTATACATATTCTATTATATAAATGGAATATTCAATTATATATTTCATTATATAAATGGAATAGTGTGAAAGCAAAGGGGACTTCAAGTGGGACCTAGCATTGCTGGAATACAAATCAAAAAGTATCTTTCAACTCTAGGTATCAATCACATCACATGAAAAATTAAATTATAAAGTACGCATGTATTAATATTCAGTACAAATAAACTACACACACAGACATACATACAATTATAGGAAATATTATAACTGATTTCTTATGTGCCATCAAGTCATTGTCAACTCTTAACAATCACACAGATTAAACCTTCTCCATGATGGTCAGTTTCCAAACTAGCTCTTCTGTCTTCCAATAATGCATCCATCACTGTTGTAATCATGACTGTGCATCTTGCTGTTGGTCATCCTCTTTTTCTCTCCCCCCCACTTCATCTTTTCAGCATTATAACTTCTCAAGAGAGCTAAATCTTTGCATAATTAAGAACTTTTAAAATACATTATAGTCCAGATTTTATATCCACCCACTTCTTACTCTACATCTGTTTTCTATTTGTGCATCTATTAATCCAACTACTATAATTGTTCCTTTTGTGGAAATTTAGCTCAATATATAATTGGATTTGTGGCTAAAATATTACTGCACAAATGAAATAAATTGTGTATTATCTGGTGTCCATTTCTACAATTTCTCCTCTTAAGTAGATGCTATTAAAAAACCTTTTGGTCTAATAATGTATTTTAGATTCCTAAAATGGAAAAGAGAGATTGAAGTATAAATTACAACGTAACAAATTATGCTATGATACTGTTTTGCCTATATAAACATTCACAATCAGGTTCCAAGATTCCAATTCTTATTAGTATTTTAATACTTTGTTAGAGGATATCTAAGATTACCTAATTTGGTGAGAATCCCAGTGATCCAAGACTCTTAAGAAATCTACTGAGTTCCCATCATCTAACAACAGCGGCAACAAAATTATTTTTCTCTCCAGGGACATCTTCTGAACGAGGTCAACAGCATCACACTGTCCCTTTTATCATGTGCTGCATGCATCCTAGTCATGTAAAAGGCTGAGGCTTTGATGACACTATCGTACCTATAATTTTAACAGTAGTGATCTCCCTGAGGATATTTCTCTTCTCTCCCCTGTTGAGATAAAAACATGGGGGTAACCAGGAACAGGTTTTATGTTAAAGTTAAACAACTAGACACAAGAACAGTTTTTTCCCAAACACCATCACTCTGCTAGACAAATAATTCCTTCAACACTGTCAACTATTTACTAAATCTGCACTACTATTAATCTTCTCATCGTTCCCACCACCCATCTCCTTCCACTTATGAGTGTATGATTGTAACTTTGTTGCTTGTATCCTTACGATTTATATTAATATTGTTTCCTGACTGCTTATTTGTACCCTATGACTATCATTAAGTGTTGTACCTTATGATTCTTGATGAACCTATCTTTTCTTTTATGTACACTGAGACATATGCACCAAGACAAATTCCTTGTGTGTCCAATCACACTTGGCCAATAAAAAATTCTATTCTAGTCTATTCTAGTCTACTCTAGTCTAGTCTAGTCTAGTCTAGTCTAGTCTAGTTTATTCTAAAGGCTGTGAAGTCATTGCAATTCTTGAACCGAAAATGAATTTTTGGACTCAGAATACTTTTGTTTTAATTCAATTTCTTTCCCATTGGAATCTTTTATCATGGTGCACACTATGTTTATTCATTTTGTTCACAAAATCAAAATAGATCCCACAAGCCAAAAATCTGCTATCCCCTTATTAATTATAAACATTTTAAAGAAGTTAATTACTGCTAGAATAAATTCATATGAGCAAAGCATTTCATGAATGCCAAATGCTATGTCCAGATATAATTGTAACATAAAGACCATATGAAGTGGAAAACCACTCCGAGCAGGGATGCAAAGGTTGGTATGATAGTGTGTGTGTGTGTGTGTGTGTGTGTGTGTGTGTGTGTGTGTGTAGATTGCACACCACTTGCAATTGCTTCTTACAATTTATTTATGAATACTAGTAGCATCAGTTTGCACTAATTGCATATCTTTTTCATCTGTTTTTTTTCCCAGGTCCGACTGGTCATTGCAGAAAAAGGGATACCTTGTGAAGAACGAGATGTGAGCATGCCCTTGACTGAGCACAAAGAACCTTGGTTTATGCGCCTCAATCTTGGGGAAGAAGTACCTGTCATCATCCATGCAGATAATATAATCAGTGACTACAATCAAATAATTGACTATATGGAGAAAAACTTCACAGGAGGTAAACTTTTAGATACTTTCCTCAACCCTCAAGGTGATGGATGCAACTTCCATCACCTTGAATTAGCCAACCATTGTTGGCATATGATAGCTAGGATACTAGATATGGAAAATTGTTCCAGAAATTTAACGTCCTTATAGCTCTTAAATCTTCTTACATCTGTATTGTTGTTGTGTTTCCAAAACTGGATTGTTTCTTTTTTTTGCTTTGTTTTCTATTTTCACAATTTCTATTGGCATTTATCTAGAATTGCCTCTGGTCTGATTGAAATAGCTTATTTTGCTTAAATTGGATGGTTTGTGTCTCATAGCATTCAATTTTCCCTGCTGTTGCTATTATTTGTTTCTTTATGATTTCCAATTTTTCTGGTGCCAACCCAACATTTATTAATTAGAGTTGTCTTGATCCTTACATTATTCAATTTTTGCTTTTTCATGTTTTTTAAATTACTTGCATCTGATCTTAATTTCTTTATTTTGGCATCCAGTCTGATCTTCCACTTTGGGACTGAATATGATTTTGCTTTTTCAAATTTTGATAGCTAGTTCTTCTGTAACCACCATTAGTGTACTGTAGGTAAGCTGATTGGTCTGTTTGAAAGATGTTATTTTAATACTTGCAACCAGCTTATTTACATCCTTCCTTATCCAGTATGTGCCAGGCCTTTCTTGGGCACTTTCAATGCTGGCACTCTTTGTCTTTCTATTGGAAATTCTGTATTTGCTATAATTTTCTTTCTTTTTTTCCCCTTCTTGTCAGGAGGTTGGAGGGGGAGGCCAATTCACAGGTTGTTCAGTGATGGCCTGCAGTGGTTCTGTGGTTTTACTTCTTTTAAATTATCATTTTTTGTAGTTCATATCAGCTATTTCTTTAATGTTTGCAATTGTTATTTGAGTTGTTCTATTATTGTTTTGGGGTATTCCATTTTCACAATTTTTCTGCATCTCTTCAAATTTGGCATCCCTAAATATTTTTTTTTCCTGGTAATGAATCTCCATTGATTTGGTAATCATTGCTCAGTGGTCTGGATAAATTCTTTTTCAATGTTCAAACATTTGCTTTACGTATCCCCTGCTTTTAAGTATCTCCACTTTTGAAGAAGGTTGTTGACCAGGTGATTTGTCTGCAACTGATAGGAATCCTGGAGGAAGTGAATTATCTAGATCCATTTAAATCAGTTTCCAAACTGGGATTTGATACCAAGACCACTTGAATTACACTTGTTTATAACCTGTGGCAAAGTGATGGTAATTCCATCCTTGTACTCCTTGATCTCTGAATCATTTTCAGTACCATTATACTATCCTTCTGAGCCAGCTCTGTGGGTTGGGGATTGAGGGCACCATTTTATGGTGTTTCTTTTTCTTTCTCTAGAGCCAGTTCCAATCAGCATTGATGGGGAGAGAGTGTTCTCTAGGTCCCTTATTTGTCAGGTGTCACACAGGATTCTATTCTTTCTCCTCTCCTTTTCAAAATCTACATGAAACTGCTGGGTGAAGTAATTCACTGGTTTTGGGTTCGCTGTCATCAGTATGCTTATGATGACAAATTATATCTTTCAACTTGGGCTGCCCAAGTGAGACTGTCGTGGTTCTCATTCAGAATGTAGAGACTGTGCAGGTTTTGCAGGGAAGAAACCCTCCCAAACTCAATCCTACAAAGACTGAGTGGTTCAGGATATTTGGACCACCCAGATTTGGGGGTATTCCAACTTTTTCCTGGGTAATACGTCATGATTCAAGGGTGCTGTGCAATTTGAAATCCTCTGGACTCACAGTGCCTGCACAGTACCTGCAAGTGGCAGTTGTGACCAGGAAAGTTTTTGCCAAACTTCATCTGGTGCACAAGTTGCACTCTTTCCCAAATCTCTGGTCATTATGGTTTGATTACTGCAACTCATTCTACATGGGCTGCCCTTGAATATGACCCAGAAGCTTCAACTGGTCCACAGTGCAGTGGTGCAGGCAGTGATGGGTATATCTTCGTATGCTTATGTAACACGTCTGCTTTGCAAGTTGCATTGGTTGCAAGTTGCATTGGTTGCCAGTTTGCTTCTGAATGCAATTCAAAGTGGTGGTCACCTATAAAGCCTTATATGGCCAGGAGCGACTTTGCACAACTGCAGGTTGTGTACCAGTTACACCCTTTCATAGACCAACAATACCTACTCACAGTCACTCATGCCCTAGTCACTTCCTGTCTTGACTATTGCAATGCGCTCTACATGGGGCTGCCCTTGAAGAGCATCCGGAAGCTCCAGTTGGTGCAAAATGCAGCAGCCCACATGGTTTTGTGCAGACCCCGATGTCTACATGTATCACCTCTCTTGCAGGAGCCTTATTGGCTGCTGATTTGCTTCCGGGTGCAATTCAAGGTGCTAGTTGTCACCTTTAAAGCCCTTCATGGCTTGGGACCAGGCTGCTGAGGGACCATCTCTTGCCGGTCACATCTACCTGACCCATCAGAGTGGGGAGGCAGGAAATGTTGTGGGTTCTGTCCCCTAGGGAGATACACCTGGTGGGACCCAGAAAAAGGGCCTTCTCCATGGTGGCCCCCTCTCTCTGGAACATCATCCCCACAGAGATTAGAATTGCCCCCATTCTAGCACTCTTCCAGAAGGCCCTGAAGATCTGGTTCTGCCAGTGGGCCTGGGGAACCCAGAGCAGGATGGAGCCCATTAAAAGGCTCGCGTGAGGTGCTGTTGCCGGGGCGGGCGCGGGGGGTGATTTTAGTATATTAATTTATTATATGACTCTTTTTTAATTAGTTTTATTGTTTTTATATGGGGTTTTATATTCTGTAAACCCCCTTGAGTCGCCATGTGCAAATAGGTGGCAATATAAATAAATAAAATAACAAAACAACAAAACAAAACAAAACAAAACAAAACAAAACAAAACAAAACAAAAAACAAAACAAAACAAAACAAAACAAAACAAAACAAAACAGGCATGAGTCTGGTTACTTAAGGAACTGCTTGTCTCCCATAGCATGTTGCCTCTTGGGACCGGGCAATGGTGGTGCTTAAGCAAAGGATCCTTGATCCCTGCGCAGGGGGTTGGACTAGAAGACCTCCAAGGTCCCTTCCAACTCTGTTATTCTGTTCTGTTCTGATATAGAATTACAATCAGAATATAGTAAACTCTCCTCTAGGGTACAATTGGAACACATTAATGTACATGTTAAAGCAGTAATATATGTTGATGAACTCAAAGAATAAATTTCAATAAGCATTTACATTACCATGGTTCAATATTATACCATCAGCAGAAATGGAGGAAAATTTTTGTAAAATTCCCTAAGCAGAAAGGCTTTGCCCTTGTAATGATGGTAATATTGAAACACAGACTGTCATATTCTATTATGCTGTACTTTCTTTTGGGACGTACACAAGGTACTCTTCATGCCTCTTCCAATTCCATTTCTGGAATGGACTGAGGAATTTTTTATGCAGATAAGGACCCCAAGGTAACCCCTACCATTATATATTGCTGACAGGAAAACGGTGCAAGCATGATGGTAGATCTTTTTATTTTGTACCCTTTATTCTTCTCTATCTTGTAGCTCTAATTTGTAGAATTTATTTAATCAGTTTTATTCAATCTGGGTGGCTGACCTGTAATAAAGAATTTCATTTTGTTTCATATTTATTTTAGATGAAAAGTCAGACTCTAGCTGAACAATTTAAACCACACAGGGCACTTTGGCAGCAAAAATAATCATAATAATAAATAAAATAAAACAAAGCTTCTAAACCGTGCTGCATATTTATTTCCTGTCTATTAACTGAGATTAGTAAATAAAAGCCAAAACCTCTTTAAAATAAGAACTAGATATTCAGAAGAATGACTTTCATTCTTCCACATTATCTTCTCCAGTTTCCAGAACTAACTTTAATCAAAAGATATATGCATCTGTCACCATAATGGGGCAATTTAGGTGAATTATTTTAAAAGGATAGCTTTAATGAGACGAGAGACATTTCTTACAATGAATTGATTCAGGAATGGCATTTGGGAGATCTGGGATGACAGCCAGGGAATAGGTTCTTACATTTGGACAAGGGAACATGAGGACTGAAATATAGAATCAAATCTGTAAAAGATAAGTCAGAAACTGTGCCTCACATAAATAGTACGGGTAGTCCTTGATTTATGAGTACAATTGAGCCCAACATTTTTATTGCTAAGTGAAACATTTGTTAAGTGAATTTTGCTCCATTTTACGACCTTTTTTTTGCCACAGTTGTTAAGTAAATCACTGCAGTTGTCAAATTAGTAGCACAGTTGTTAAATAAATCTGTGTGAAAAACGGTCATAAGCCAGTGCCGCTGTAACTTTGAATGGTCACTAAGTGAACTGTTGTAAGTTGAGGACTACCTGTATAGATTCTGAAATAATATGAATTACTGGTATATGTCCGGGTAATGCATTACGGATGTGACTTCATGTAATGCTAATTCAGATTCAATAACACATGCATGAGCCAGGAGCCAGGTTCAAACACATTACTTCTCCTAATTCAAATTAATATCAGCACAATCTAATGATTCTCTTCAGATACATTGGTGCAAAGTCTGTCAGATATATCCTATCTTATGCTTGGAAATATGCATTCATTAAATTGAATTCTACTGTTATCTATGCATTTCTGTAACTTATCAAGTTAATTCTGAAATGTATTTCTGTCTTCTAAGCTGGTTTAATAGAACCCATCCACTCAACAAATTCCTATAGTTAGGATTACTTTACAAATTAAATTCAGTCTTTCCTATTTATTCTTCCCTACAAATACAGGACCCAGCAGTAGAGGACAGAACTGCCAACATTCAATGCCATGTCAAAGGCAGCTGGTGCAGGAAGTTTGAAAAGAAAACAAAGGTCTTAACTAAAGATAAAAATCACTTTATTTTAGTGCTGCAAGAGAAATACCCTTGCTACCAATTGTCATTCAACTGCACATTTTTAGTTGCTGGGATTATAATTTACTACTAAATAACAATTTTGTGCTAATTTTGGTAAAATTCTGGGAAGTGCTGAGACCTCCAGAAATACATCTTGATTAAGATACTCTATCTGCACTGCAAGAGCTTGTAACTGACTATGGAGATTTCAGGCATGCTGACTACTTTATATGCTTGCCCATCCATACAAAGATGTTAACAGAATAACAGAGTTGGAAATATTTTAGTCCAATGCCCCTGGCTCAAACAGGAGACCCTATAACATTCCGGACAAATAGTTATCCAATTTCTTCTTAAAAACCTCCCTGTGGGAATGGAGCATCCACAACTTTTGAACATAAGCCATTCCACTGATATTATTTTAACTGTCAAGAAATTTATTTATTGGTTGTCCAATTGCTTGTACTTGTTAGTTCTTCTTCACCCTGTATGCTCATTTCCTTGATATTTCAAATCTGAGATGCAAAATTACCCTTTAAATGAGTCTCTAAATAGGCACACTATTAGTAGTAGCACTTATTTACAATAAGTAGGTTATTTACAATAAGTTAGCTTTGTAGAAAAAGAAACATCAGAAAAAACCATTATATATACAACTAAAGTCTGCTTTCACTTGACCGTTTCTTGTTTTGCAGAGCACGTCATCCAGCTAGTTCCTGAGAATGGAAGCCTCCTTCATTCACGAGTAATGCAGTATAGAGAAATCCTAGACTCCTTACCCATGGATGCCTACACTCATGGATGTATTCTTCACCCAGAACTCACCACAGACTCCATGATTCCAAAGTATGCTACAGCTGAGATTCGCAGTAAGTGGTCAGTTATGGAAGGCCTTATTGAGTAGATGATTATAGATATGGATATATGGCAGGGGTGCAAACTCAAGGCCCGGGGCCCGGATCCGGCCTGCGAGGTGCTTAGATCTGGCCCATGGGGCCGCCCAGAAATAGTGAAGAATCAGCCCGTGGTGCCTCTGCCAGTGAGAACACAGGTCAGGAGGGCCATGTGCTGCCCTCTCAAACTCCGTTTTCACTGGCATAGGGTTGCAGAAGGTTGTTGCAGCCGAAAACGGAGCTCGGGAGCCTGTTTTCGCTGGCAGAGCGCTCAGGCCACCACAGGCACCCCTGACACGAGTGATGTCGAACTGACCACACCCTCCCCGGCCACCCTGAGGTCAAACACAATCCTGATGCGGCCCTCAATGAAATTGAGTTTGACACCCCTGATATATGGCAATACCTGGTCCATTGAAAATATATAATTGAAAATGATAGACTCAAAGAATAAAGAACAAAATCAGCAGAATTATCTGCTGATGTGGCTAATTCTTGATGTGCCACTTTTAGGACTTCTAAAAAAAAGGAGTAATCTTGTCATGCAAAGACGAATCACAGAAAGAGGTTCCATTCCAGCTCCTGATGCAAACTTTCAAAACTTGGTATTTTCCAGATGTTTTTGAACTATGGATGGAAATTCTGAGTATCTAACGTCTGTTGATATTATGTTGCCCTGAATATGGTGTCCTGAAATCTTTAGGAGCTTGCAATGTAGATAATTTCAGTTCAGAACATTTCTTGCTGGTGTCCTTTCTTCTTAGTAGAAGACTTAAAATTAAATGCAGTGTGTATTGCTTTCTATAGAAAAGATCTCAAATTCAGTTTGTGGTATCTCCACTTAAAAAGAAAGCTACCATTCTTGCCAATTGAACTCACATACATCAAACAACTGTCTCAAGGAACACAATGGGTTTTAAGTTTAACATATTGCAATAGACAAGATATTTGTAGTCACTTTCAGTGTAACCTGCATCTGTATTACCCTTCTGTCTTTCCCTCTCCCCCTCAATTTAAATCCTACATCAGTCAAGCTAGTTTGTGCCGCTGATGAAGTGAGCTGCAGCACATCAAATGTGCCCTTTAGGACATTTGTTAGTCAGAAAAGGTGCTATCCAGACTCCTGATTTTGGCTATCATGTACTAACATGGTTCTCATATAAAGCCCTACTAAGCAGGTATATACAAAAGTATGAAGGTTATTGCTTAACGCATTGTAAGCCGCCCTGAGTCTCCGGAGAAGGGCGGCATATAAATCGAACCAATAAATAAATAAATAAATAAATAAATAAATAAATAAATAAATAAATAAATAAACAAATGCCATTGTGATCTGCAAAGTCAAGAATGTGTGGATAGCACTTCAGCTCAGTAGTGGTCAAATACTGATTGCCCAGTCACAATCTTCTCTGGTGAAATATTTTGTATTTCTCTTCAAAGTTTGCTTTTTTTTTTTTAAGTTAGCTTACTGCTCTTTTATTCCAAATTTCTTTCATTATTTTTATTTCTCTCTCATGATACCTTTCTTCTCCTTTTGTTGAGGCATAAATGACTATTTTTATCCAAGGATATGATATGTGCTAATTGAATTAATGATAACATTTAGTATAAGGCAATTTCATAAAGATTGTACAATAGGTACAGCTTCAACTGCAGGCCAAGTCTGTTTGTAAAGATCAAATGTGCTGTGCTGTGCTATGTCCAGCTGTTCCCTTCCATTGGCTCTAATATAATGATTCGTAAGAGCTAGCTTGACGATTCTAGTCAGTCAGTATTGCTGGCTGTAACCCTGCCTGGTCTCACTCTTTCCTTCTTTCTGTCCCTTGTCCAAATTTCACATTATGCAAGCATCAAGTAAGGAAAATAAAACCTCAAGTCTGCCCTGTAAGGGGAACTAGTGGATGCAGCAATTTTTGCTACCTATCCTACCCCTTTTGGCTTGGTTTGTTTTGGCAATGCTAAAACTGTGTTTGGGTGCCTCCCTAGCTGCCTCAATTTGTTTCTGTGAACCAAGCCTTACTTTGCAGTTGGGATGAACAGCATTTGGGCCTCTATTTTAAGAGTGTATCTTTCTCAAGCCTTCACTAGTGGCCATCTCCCCACTGCTTCTCCCCACAAGCACCCACGAATTTCATATTACATATATTTACTTTTGATCAAATAGGTTTTACTCTATTTCTTTTGAAGTTCCATGATTGGTGAGAAGCAGGGTTCAACTTCAGAGAGTAAAATTTGACATTTGGAAAATTCTCAGTAACATGTAGCTCTGCTGTAAGCATTTCACTTATTGCATGTCAACACAAAAGCCATTTTCTCCTTCTGCCCCCATTGGACTATTTATTAGTCCTTGAAAATTTCAAATAGTACTAGAGTTTTTTTAAAAAAATAATACAGTGATAGGAATTTCCATGGTACATTGAAAATCCCTGCAGATACACACAAAAAGGTTTTTTTTTTAGTATACTCAATAGAGCTTTGAAGATTTCAATTTGGCTCAAATAGGAACTGAGCTGAGGGGAGGCCTTCTAGATTTCTATTGGATATCAAAATTCCCAAGAGCAGCCTTGATATGTAGATTAGATTACAGAAATAAGGATAAATTGACAATACACTTTGTGCTTCAAGTACAAGCTCTCCTGAAACATTGACAATGTCTTATATAACTCTTCCACAAGGACATTTCATGAAAGGCAGTCCTGCTGTGTGGATAGTGATATTGTGACAAGAATACCACAGGCAGTTGCAGTTTAATGACACAGGATAATTTACAATCAAACAGCTCAATTTGCAAATGCAAAGATTTTTTTAAAATCTTCCCAAACTTAATATAGAATTATAAATTCAGGCTAGATTTTCCCTCATCTTTAAACATGTTCATTTACATGACTTTCTTCACTATTTTTTTTTTTTTGGTTAAGTTTGTGCTCGACTTCATGTTTTCTTCTATTGAAAGTGCTTCTAAATTATTTGAGAGTGCCATATGATCCCACAGGAATATAGGTATAAGAGTTATATAGAATATCTTTATCAAGGGTGTCAAACTTGCGACAACACATTGTTGTCACGTGATACATCGCAATTTTTTTCCCCTTCACTAAACCAGGGTTGGGGGTGGCCAGTACATGACACATCCAGCCTGCGGGCCACAAATTTAACATCCTGATCTATAGTCAGAAGTAAAATAGTGCAGGTTAATAAAAATGAGAGCAGCAATGGATGTTATTACAATCAAACCTTCTTTTAATGATTGGATAGAATAGGATAGATCATGGAAAGAGGAGAGAGAGGTTGAAATATAATTGTACTTATAATTGCTGTGAGTAATATCAAAAGTCATTTCTTTATGTTTTTATATCTTTTGTTATATCTTCTTTTTTTCTATTTTCTTTTTTATTAATAAATTTATTGGCTACCCATCTTACCTCTGGGCAACTTTTAATATTGCTCTTTTAGATTTTTCTATTCTTTTTTTTTACTTTTTCTGTTCTAATTTAGACTGTGGTAGTTATTGTTCCTAAAACATTATATATATATATATATATATATATATATATATATATGTGTGTGTGTGTGTGTGTGTGTGTGTGTATGTGTATATATGTATATATATATATATATATATATATATTAAAGCCTAATGTGTTACAGCAGGTGGCAGCATCTAGCCAACCATGACTGAACTAGAAGCTAAACTAAACTGGCTTGATGGGAAATTATTAGGAAATCTTAGAACAATAGATTGGGAAATTTAAAACAAAATTTCAGGAATTTTTCCAGTAGCAAAATAATTCCATATGCCAAACAAACTTACTGGAATTCACCGGGTTGTCCATAGAAATCTGAATCTTTACCCATTTTCTATCTTTTTTCTATCTTGATTTCTTATTTAGGAGGCTAAGATAGATGGTCCTTTGATTTCTTCTTCTTACAATCTCTTTTTAGATTGTCAGCCAGGGCAGATTGATGGTCAAATTCTCTGGGGACTGATTGAGGAGATTCATTGTCATTCTGGGGAGACAGCAGGCAATGAAAAGCAGCTTTCAGAGCCAATGAATTGATAAAGTGGAGGCAGAGGCAGATAATGTACTGGGCTGTTCCCACACTGGAGAGCTAGTTTGTTGTAATTCCTGAAGTGCTGGGCTAGAAATCAGGAGACTGAGTTCTAATCCTCCCTTAGGCATGAAAACCAGCTGAGTGAATTTGGGCCATCACTCTCTGTCAACCAAGTCTACTTCACAGAGTTGTTACTATGGGTAATATGAGGAATATGTGTGTACACCATCCTGGGTTGATCAAAAGCTGTGATAAACATCTCATAATAATAATTTTAAAATGGCAGGGTGCCTAACCTAAGAATATTCCTGCAGCTATGAAAGGGCTCATCTCTTTGAGAGAACAGGTGGCAAATTTCCCAATTAAACCGTGCCAGCAATTGAAGCTACATAACAGCAGCTTTCATGGCCTTTCTCTTCTTTGGCTAGAAAAAGTCTCCTTTTTACAAATCTTCACACTGTTGGCTTCTTGTTCCTGCCTCATGGCCCTGCAGCAGGGATGGGTTCTACTTACCTTTATTACCGGTTTGCAACAGGGCCGCGCATGTGTGCTTGCTTCGCTCGTGCATGCGCTCTTCTGCGCATGCGCAGAAGCATTTTGATGACATTGGGGTCAGTGGGCGGAGCCTCCCGCCAGTTTTACTACCAGTTCTATAGAACTGGTGTGAACCGGGGGCAACCCACCACTGCCCTGCAGGAATGTAAGAATCTATCTTCTTCACGGATCTCCAGCTGATTTATAGCCCCACTTGAAACTGTTATTATTTGAAAGTAAAAGACTATTCACTTAATTTGTACCTGAAGTCAAAAACAAAAAAGGAAAAACCTAAAGTAAACTTGTGACTATACTGTGAGCTTATTCCTAATTAAACAGCAGTTTTCCCAAAACAAAAGTTCCTTGGGTTCATTTATTTAGACTTCCTCCAATCTGTAATATTCTACCTTAATCAAAGGCTGCTGAGGAGAATAATAAACACTCTCACCTAACTTTGCACCACAGGCTTTGTTTCTAAGAGAACCAAACATTTTTCTCTGTCCAGCAGAGGAAGGTGCTAGGCAGTGGTGGGATTCTCTGCCCTAATGATTTCTTCCAACAACCAGTTTTCACCAAACTGCTCAGAAAGTTAACAACTGGTTCTCCCAAAGTGGTATGAACTGGCTGAATCCCAGCACTGGTGCTAGGATACTTAAGACTTTGAAGGTGACCTAGAACCATCCTTCTGTCAGGATTATGAGATGAGGGGATGTGTATTGAAATGTTCTTCAGGCTGCCAAGGAAAGTACAGTCTAAACCAGTGATGGGTTTTTGGATTTGGCATGTCAAACATTCAGAAAATGTCTAACTTGTTTCTGCTGGCATGTCAATCCGTATCCCAAACAAAAGAGAAAGAAAAGAAACAATTCTCTGTCGTGTCCCCACCACCACCACCCCCGTTTCTGGGCCACCCTGAACAGCAGCACTTGGTGACAAAGTTGAGGCAGGGCCTAAAAGAGAGGCCCAAGCCTTGACTTCAGTCCTAATGCCACTGCTACCACTCAAAAGGTCACCTAACAGAAGAGATGAACATCATAAAAATTAATAAATAAAATAAATTTTTTAAAAGTCCACCTCATGCTGTTCTCCAACGCGTGTGAGCCTCAGCACGGTTGCGCCTGCAAGCACAGAGCTCCCCAGGATCTTCTAGGTGCCATTTACTTTCAGGCAATGTTCTCTACCAAAAGCTGCTCCAGGCCTCTTCCTTGCCATATTATTTTAAATACTCACCGATAGTAACCAAATAAAAATCAAAGCATAATGTAACTGCAGGTTAATGATACTTTTGGCCAGTCACTGTCTAAAGTCAGAATTGTCTTCCTTCTCCAAAAATCACTGAAGTTTAAAAAGCTGCCAAAACCAGTTGGGCAGAAAGAAGAGAAAGATAGATAGTCTGAGCATGACCTGTTTGTCTAAAATTTAAGTAATTTATGTTCATTTCCAGTGCTTCCAGTTACTTTCATTTTTTCTTTATCTTTCCTTATGTTAGATATTTATCTTTGTTCTCCAGTCCAGCAACTAAATGTCTCCGTTAAACACAAATGGCTACTTTTTTAAACAAATACAACAGTCTCACTTTCTAATTCATTACTTTACTTGGTGATTTGAGATCATCAGATGTACTGCAGCATCTCACTAGATGTTGGTTGGAAGCAAAGCTACTTTGAGCAACTTCCCCTTCTTCTCCTTTTTAATGCCAATTGTTTTTAAGAATGTGTGAATCTATTCCTAGTCATTTTGTTGTCAAATTCCATTCATTAAAAAAAAGTTGAGGACAATTGTGAAAGCCACAGCACCAGAGGTTTCTCAAAATAATAGCCTTGGTTCTAATCCAGTCTGACAGATCAATAGAAATTGAAGAGAAGAGGAGCATATACTTAGCTCCAAAGCTACTGAGACATTGTTCTGCAAATAGTCTACTCCAGTCAGCATTAAGAGAGAATCACACAATAGAATATATAAAGAACTTTTAATTAAAGCAATGAATTGCTTCTCTAAATTGCAAAGGATGTGATCTTAGTATGAAACCATCTATTGAATCCTGACTAAGCATAAATTTTCTTCATTTGTAGGCATGGATATTTACACAGTAAAATTTGCAATTAGTAAAATATTTGTCTGTGCGCATAACATAAATTGAAAGAAGGCAAGCCCTGTTTAAACTATTGATTTGCTGTGGGTGAAATTGCAATCAGATATTCTACAGGGAATGTTTGGGAAAGTTTTCAAAAAAATATCTTTCCATCAGTAATCTGGGGCAGGCAATGAATAGAGGAACATAATTTGAAATCCTAAATGTGAGGTGAATGAAGGTCACATTCTGATTGCATTTTGTTTGTTGCAGTGACACCTACTGCAAATGTAGCAACCAAATGTAGGACTATTATGTCTATTTAAATCCCTCCTTTTAATATTACAAGTGGATTCTTCAACAAAATGTTGCAGTCCTCTTTGAGCCTGCTCTATTCTATCCTCATCCCCAATTTTCTGTTTCCCCCCCCTCCAATAATTATTGAGCATTCTCAGTTTGTTCAATTCTCACTGAACTGTTTTTGATTCCCCTTTTCTTAGAATTTATTTAAAATTCTGCAAGCTACAGCATATATCCAGGTCTGTTGCTTTTTTTGGTTACAGAAAAATTCATAGAAAATGAATTGGATGCTTTCAAAATGGTCAAGTAATGTAAATGAGTACCTGTATAGAGGAAGAAATCTAACCACGGTTTATTTCGCAATTGTATCCACATTTCTGCATGCAAACTGAATTTCCTGACAAAACTATATTCAAATGTATCAGAAACCTCTTCGATCAATCATCTCAGTCTTAAGAGCCATGATGCCTTCTTTTTCATTTTACAATTTTTTTTCATTGACAATAAAGTCTGTTTCCAAGCCAAATAATGTCAGATGCAGTGGAGGAAGACTAAACTCTAAGGTCTTCAAATTATCAGATCAAGAAGATTCCAACCATATATCCTGAAACATTCCTAATGTTCTCAAACTGTAGCCCCAAACATTTCTTGAAAGTGAAGCTGCCATTTTCAAAAATAATATGCCCCCTTTCTTTTATTGTAACCTTTTAAATCATAGATAATATGAAGCTACACTGGAAATTATGGCCCCATTTGTCCAGTAAAATCTTCCATAGGAAAAAAAAAGAAGAACTGAGCTGCCATAGAAGCTTAATTACTTTGGCTGTGCTAGATATAAAGAGCAACTAAGAGATTGATTTATAGTTCAAGCATTGCTTGTGCTGAGCCCATGATGCTGTGATAATTAAAAGTGATTACCTAAGGGAGGTGAAATGTCAAGATGGGAAAAGAATGAACACAGATCATTATTGGTATAATGTATCCACCATTTAACCTAGATTGAAAAGAGTATTGCTAATGCATTTGCTCAAAACTGACCTTTCCCTTGAAGTAGTTCTCATTTATGTGTTGATAAATTTGCCAGTAAGATTTCGAATGTAGCCTCACTCATGATTTTCTCTACCTTAGATAGTTTGCCTCAACCTAGTGTCTGTAGAAGTGTCACAACCACAACTCTCAAGAATTACAGGATGCTAGCTTGGAGCTCTGGAAATCACAGAACCATATAGCTGAAAGGTTCACGTTAGCAGGAATAACAACTGATTAATCAAAACAAAACTGCCAAGTTTTCTGGTTGGAGCATTCAGCCATGGTCCTGTGAAGTTATTTTTTTAAACCTTTGCATTAGTTCCCTTGGGTTTATGGATATGCTTTGGTATATTGATTATCATCTGCCAGGAAGTATGCCTGATTTAATTCCACCCATAACTGAGAGATGATTATGGGAAACAATAACTGTTTTCTCTTTTCCTTTAAAAAATACTAATCTAAAACATGACATAACACCAGCACTTTCTCCCACAAAGAATCAAAATTGAACGGACTCGGAAATCACCAAATTATGATCTAGAACAGGGATGTATAACCTGAACACCTTGATGTAGTTCTCAAAGCCTCTTCAGACATTTGCATCAAATTGTGTTCTCTAATGTAATAGAATGGAAATTCATTACAGGTACTCCTTGAGTTACGACCACACTTGAGCCCAAAATTTATGTTGCTAAGTGAAACATTTGTCAAGTGAGTTTGCCCCGCTTTCTAGCACCTATATGCAAAATGTATATTCTCCGATTTGCTCTGTGCCTGATCTTTCAAAAGTCCAGCTACAGAATATGGGCAAAACATAATATCTTGGACCTTCAACTTGGACCTATTTCATTCATCTTATTGTTATCATTTCTTTAGTGCAGTTAATAAAACAAATATAAGTTTTGTAAAAGAATGAGGCTTCTACTACAAATGAGATATCACTCTGATGGGAGTAAATCTCTGCCACAAGCATGCAAACCATTTATATTTTCTTCTCTTTAGGACATTTAGTTAATGCCAGCTCAGATCTGATGAAGTTGGATCATGATGATGATGATGAGGCACAACTAACGGAACCATACCTTTCCAAACAGAAGAAACTTATGGTGAGACAAGCACAAGGAAAGTTTTATTATTAGATATGGAAACACTATAGAAGTTTGGAATGGATATAAATATTGACTTCAGTCTAATTTCCACTAACTATTGGGCATTTTCCATGAACTTCCCATTCTCACCCAGAGAGAGATTCCAAGGAAAAGGGCCAGTTGATAGTGGTCCAAGGCTGTGAAAAAGACAGTGGGGTAAATGGGGTAAACAATGGTCCCCTGGGGCCAACTTAAATTGATCAGGTAGCCAGACTGACTATTGATTCATCTGCAATAGGCAAAACTCATCCAATTTAATTAAGAATCTATAATAGAATGAATTGATGCAATGATTATCATGAATAATTTGTATGTGGCTGTCACTGCTTTTACCTGGATTAATAATATATAATTAAATTAATTAATTTAGCTGACATCATCTATTCATACTTTAGCGTGACCCCCGTTTCTTTTATCTTTTAACTTTCCCATCACTTCCCCTTAGTAGAAAAGAATGTCCCTACCTTGACTGATCTGAAAAAGAACTAAGATAAATACAGGGGGCCTCAGCTTATGACCACAATTGATCCCAAAATTTCTGTTGTTAAGTGAGATAATTGTTAAGTGAGTTTTGCCCCATTTTACGACCTTTCTTGCCACAGTTATTAAGTGAATCACTGCAGTTTTAAGTTAGTAAGACAGTTGTTATGTGAATCTGGCTTCTTCATTGACTTTGCTTGTTAGAAGGTGACTGTCATAAATATGAGTCAGTTGCCAAGCATCTGAATTTTGACCACATGACCATGGGGATGCTGTTGTTGAAGGGATCTGGGCAACAAAATTGGAACATTAGGTTTAGAAGGCATCTGGAGAAGAGAAAAATTGAATATCAAGGTATGCATTATGTTCATCTAAACCAGTGTTTCTCAACCTTGGTAGCTTGAAGATGGGTGGACTTCAACTCCCAGAATCCCCCAGCCAGCAGTGCTGGCTGGGGGATTCTGGGAGTTGAAGTCCACCCATCTTCAAGCTTCCAAGGTTGAGAAACACTGATCTAAACATTATTTCCTAGATTCTCTCTGGTGACTTGTAGAAGTTTCTGATACTTGTTTAACTTTATCATCTATACAATTAATATTTGCATCAAAAGTGGCTTACCGTCTGCAGTGAATCAGTTTGAAATAATCTGGACTTTTCTACACCTGTTTTGCCCTGATTTATAAATAGTATTTTCTTAAATTCAAAATATGCACACAGCAATATAGATCACATTGTGATCAGTTAGTGTAATAATTTTTTGTATTTTAATTGCACAAAAATATACAAATAACTCTGAACTACTCAAAATTTACACTACCAGTTTTTCAGAACCTGTCAGAACCTGCTAAATAGGAACACTGATTCCTAGCCTTTCAGACCACATCAGTGGTGGGATTCAAAATTATTTTACTACTGGTTCTGTGGGCGTGTCTTGGTGGGTGTGGCAGGGGAAGGATACTGTAAAATCTCCATTCCCTCCCCACTCCAGGGGAAGGTTACTGCAAAATCCCCATTTCCTCCTGATCAGCTGGGACTCGGAAGGCAGAGAATAGATGGGGGCGGGGTCAGTCAGAGGTGGTATTTACCGGTTTTCCGAACTACTCAAAATTTCCACTACCGGTTCTCCAGAACTGGTCAGAACCTGCTGAATACCACCTCTGGACTACAGATTACAAACTGCTACAGAGAGAGCAAGAATCAGCAGGCTAAATCTGCTTTCATTGTTGGATAATTTGCAAACCCAACAAGCTACATCTCTTTCTATTAAAGCTGTTTTAATAACAGATTTGGTGTTTTTGGATTTTTTTTACAAATCTCCTATATACAATTGGATAATCATTACTTTGTAAGCTAATTTTTTTTTTGCAGTAAGGCCTTTGTTATTTGCATTTAGGCCAAAATTCTGGAGCACGATAATGTGAACTATCTGAAGAAAATCCTGGGAGATCTGGGAATGGTGCTAGATCAAATTGAAGCTGAACTGGAGAAGAGAAAAATTGAATATCAAGGTATGCATTATGTTCATCTGAACATTATTTCCTAGATTATCTCTGGTGACTTGTAGAAGTTTCTGATACTTGTTTAACTTTATCATCTATACAATTAATATTTGCATCAAAAGTAGCTTACTGTCTGCAGTAAATCAGTTTGAATTAATCTAGACTTTTCTACACCTGTTTTGCCCTGATTTATAAATATTTTCTTAAATTCAAAATATGCACACAGCAATATAGATCACAACTATGTGTTAGTGTAATAACTTGTATTTTAATTGCACAAATTATACAAATAACTAAGACATACACACTTGTGTTAATATCAATTGACCAATTTATCAATCTCCTTCTTAAAATGAGATTTAACTGGGACATTATTATATGTCTGAACAATGAGCAATGCCCAATAGAGAAAAAGATATGATAACATATTTTAATATTTATGAAATTTATTTGCTGCCTATCTCGTAATAACAAATCTTGACTTTTTGCTTTTCTTAAGGTATACTAGGATTTTTTCCCCACAAATACATCACACATTGTTTAGTTACTGTTAAAATTAAAGAATAAATTCTATTCAACATTCCACTTTGTTAAAATATCTCTGAACCTTGATAATAACGTGTTTCCCTGAAAATAAGACCCTGTCTTACATTTTTTTGAACCCCATAATAAGCACTTGGCCTTATTTTCGGGGAGGTCTTATTATTTTGGGGCACATGGAACAAGACGGCGATCCTGTTTGCCATCTTACCTGATTTCCAGCTCTGTCTCCCTAACCCTAGCAGGGACCAGCTGCGCATGCAGTTAAATATTTTTGGGGAAGGGCTTATTATCCAGGGAGGTCTTATTTTCAGGGAAACATGGTATCCTCCCAAGTGCTTATATTCTTATTTATATTATTTATATTATTTATAAATTATTAATTATTTATATATAATTTATATTCTTATTTTCTAACCCTTTATTCAAGTCATTTATAAATTTGCTGAACTGTACAGAGGCTAGAACAGAGCCCTACGTCATTCATCATCTCTTTTCCATTTTATGCAAAGCTACTGAATTGTTTCACCAGCTCTATATCCATAGTGGAATGGTCAGGCCCATATTTTGCTATACCAGCTATTAGAATCTCATGGGAAACTTTGTCAGATGCTTTGCTTGGAACACCATGTCCTCTAAATTGGTCAATCAAATTAATTTGGCATGACTTGTTCTTAGTAAAATCATTTTGAGTACTGCCAAGCAATGCATTCTTTTCTGAATTATTATAAACCAACTATTAAATTTGATAAATAAATAAATAAATAAATAAATAAATAAATGTCATCAGAATCTGTAGAGCTCAAACTGCTTCTATTTCTTTCACAGCAAGATGCCTGCCAGCTGCATGTCCAAGTGTCAGCCATTGTAATGAGAGACAACCAACTAACTATTATTATTAACGCACTGTAAGCCGCCCTGAGTCTCTGGAGAAGGGCGGCATATAAATCAAATTTTTTAAAAAATTATGGACATGGTATAATATGGGAGGTGGAGAAAGAGGGACAAAAACATGATCTGAAAAGCTAGTTTGGAATAGTACATTTTACACACTCGTAGATAAATAGCTTCCTTGGCAGTACACATTAATTATTATGCCTGAGAACTGTTGCTTTTTAACTATAGACCAGATTGCATCTGGTACAGATCTGTGGAAATTCAAAAAAGACATAGAAGAGATGGAGAGATGTCTAGATTCTAACTAACATAGGCATCATGCCCCAGAGGTAGCTCTTCCCAAAGTATGATTCAATATTTTAAATAATATAGTGAATACATATCTTTCATCCAGGGAAATAAAATTATTCAGATAACATATAAATACCAAGGATTATTTCAATATTTTTGGTTCCTCTGCATATTGGTGTTTATATTATTCAAATCCAAAGAATAAAAGAGCAAGTATAAAGTCAAATTCAGACTCCTCACAATCAGAGTCAAAACCAGTGCAGAAAAGGTGAAATAAATGCCAGGCATTATATAAATCACTTAAATTGCAGTTTTCAAGACTTGAATATTGAATATATTTTCATGATACATTGTGCCTTGTTTATTGAATTAATCCATTTGAGGGTTGCAAACAATATAAAGAAATATAAAGTCACCAAACAGGTTGGCTAAACACAAAAAGAGTTTCATGTTAATCAAACTGAGCATGTTGGCTAAATACACCTGCTTCACCTGATTAAGCATTCTTCTAATGTTTAATTTCTTCAGGCATTTACCATGAAAATGTGAATGCTTAAAACTGATCATGAGCAGCTGGAACTTAATTTGGAGAACCATAACTGGTTAATAAAAAAAGAAATAGCGAGGTTTAAGGGTTTGCTATTATTATTCCTCCCTTTTACTGTCCTTCAACCCATAATGCTCCAGCTATCATTGACTGCCATAAATATTTTCATGGCAGATGATTTCAGGGTTTTTAAATACTGTACCAATGGTGCAGCTGTAGGTTGCTTAATTATATGCATAGTTGGAAGTACAGATAGTACTTAGTGACCATTCAAAGTTGCAACACTGAAAAAGTGACTTATGACCGTTTTTTCACACTTTACAACCATTGCAGCATCCTTACGGTCACATGATCAAAATTCAGCTGCTTGGCAATTGGCTCATATTTATGACAGTTGCATTGTCCTGGGGCCTTGTGATCACCTTTTGTGAACTTTTGAGAAGCAAAATCAATAGGGAAGCTGAATTCACTTAACAACCATGTTACTAACAACTACAGTGATTCACTTAACAAGTGTGGCAAGAACAGTCATAGTGGGGCAAAATTCACTTAACAACTGTCTCACTTAGCAACAGAAATTTTGGGCTAATTTGTGGTTATATGTTGAGGACTAAGAGAAGAAGCTGAGCAGCTGGAAAGGGAAAACTTGCTTTATCATATCTTTTTCTAGACAGTGGCTTATACTGAGCATGAAATGAGGGAAGATCCTGCTCTGTCATCTTGAGTTTCTATAGATCCTCCTGAAAAATTTGGAAGCCAGCCACCCAAATTTGACAGCTTAAGTTTTCCAGGTTTCCAGAATGAAAGAAGAATAAACATAGCCTGTAAAGACTTAAAAAGTCTTAATGATCTGATTTTACTTTTCAAAAAGGAAAAATAGATACAAAAGTGTCTGTAGGGGGAATTAAAAAATAAAATAAAAATCAAGATGGCAGCTATGACCATGTCCTCAAAGCCCTGCTTTCTTTCAACATGTGTTGCAAAAGTCAGGGCTTGGAGCACATAATCACACACACCACAAATATTCCTGCAATTTCTGCAATTAATTTAATTTGGCACTTCTCTTTGGTAACATCACTGTGTCAGCCCCTTCCCATTCTAGTAAAAAGTCATAATATAATTATGATAGCAACCATTTCCCCTTTATTCATTAACATTTCTGAAACTGAAGAACTCACAATGATAAAAATGCCTAATTGGGACAGCACTAACATTAAGTAGATAATTATCAAAGCTTCTGATTTTAATGTCCTTTAAAAGGTAGCAAATTGTTAGTTAATTAATATATCGTGCTTAAATTACCAGGGACAGAGAGGAACGTTTATGGCATTTTCTATCCCAGCTATAGAATAATCTGATTGCAGCCCAGTGCTCTTCAAGCAGAAAAATACTGTATATACCACAATCATGCTTGGCTCCCCCCCTCCCCTTACTTAGATGTGAAAAGGGAGTTGTGGGAGGACAGTTGAGATACTAACAGCACATCGATGAACAATTGGCTGTGTTACATCTTTTGTGAAGTCCCCTGTCTGAGCTTTGGGCCTCCATCGCTGCATTTTGGGGATGTATACGACTGCAGATCTTCTTGCGCTGCGAGATTCCCCCTTCTCGCAGATGTGGCCCTCCTCACTATCGAGGGCCCACCTCAAGGAAGGGTTTTGGGACCCAGAGAGGTGGCATGTGAAAACGAGGGGATTGAGGGGTTTTCTAACAAAATTTTTAGTCAAATTTTAAGGGGTCCTAGGGAGGGGGAGGGTCAGATTGGAATTCGGGCTGTGGGTATGGGGGATAACCCACAAGGGGGAGGGTCGGGTCTGGCAGTGAAGCGTGGCGTGGGGGATGGGGGACCCGGGATCGAGGGGGGGGTTAGAGCTTGTCCGGATAGTTTTTTGAACATCAGTACTGTAGGTGGGAGGGGTAGATATGGCAGGAGCAGGGGGCCATATCGTGTTTGGGGAGTGCGCACTCGCTGTCTACGAGCGGTGGCGTGCTCCGGCCCCCAAGGCTCTACTCGCTCCTCAGGTTGCATAGTTCCTCAGGACCCAGGCCTTCGGCTGATGCTGTGCAATGCCAGGTCCGTAGTAAATAAAGCCCCCCTCATCTGTGATCTTGTTCAGGAGGGGGGTGCGGACCTGGCAGGTATTACGGAGACCTGGTTGGGCCAGGAGGGGGGGGTTCCCCTCGTTGAAATGTGCCCGCCAGGTTTCCAAGCATTCCATCAGCCGAGGTCACAGGGGAGGGGCGGGGGGGTAGCGGTTATCATTAAAGAAGGTCTGAGACCGAGGGAGGCCACTGTTCCTCAGACGGCCGGCTGTGAATCCCTTTTTGTGAAATGGGGTCATGGGGTTCAGATGGGTTTGCTGATCACGTACCTGGCTCCCTGCCACGTGGCAACAGCCCTGCCCGAGCTACTCAACGTCATCGCCGCGGTGGCGGTTGATACCCCTAAGCTTATGGTCATGGGGGATTTCAACCTGCTGTCCGTGGGTGAGACGTCAGAGATGGCTCGGGAGTTCATGGCTTCCATGACAGCTATGGACCTGACCCAGTTAATTCATGGCCCTACCCACACAGGGGGAAACACGCTGGATCTGGTTTTTGTCTCTGGACAGTGGCTGAGGGATCTTGATATAGGGGATATAGTTACTGAACCCTTGTCATGGTCAGATCACTCTCTCCTTCGTCTCGACTTTCGAACCGCTGCACCCCGCCGCAGGGAGGCGGAGCCGGTAAGATGGTTCCGCCCCAGGCGCCTGATGGAATCTGACAGATTCCAGACGGAGCTTGGGCCATTTCCTGAGGTTCTGGCACACGCCTCGACTGGAGACCTGGTGGCCGCCTGGGATAGGGCGGCTGCTGGTGCTCTGGATCGGGTCGTGCCTTTGCGGCCTCTGACCCGACGCCGATCTCAATTGGCTCCTTGGTTTACCGAGGAGCTGAGGGAGTTGAAGCGCCGGAAAAGACGCCTAGAGAGTAGTTGGAGGGCCAGTCTTCTTGAATCTGACCGGACACTAGTAAGATCCCACATTAGGAATTACTTAGTGGCGATAAAAGCAGCGAAATGTAGTTATTTTGCTGCTCTTATTGCATCATCAGATAATCGCCCGGCCGCCCTCTTTAGGGTGACCCGCTCCCTGCTCCACCAGGAAGCGCGGGAGGACCCCTTGGAGGATAGAGCCGAGGATTTTGTTCAGTATCTGTATGACAAAATCACTCAGATTCGGGAAGATTTGGACTCCGACTGGGTAGTCTCAGGGGGAGAGACAGGGGCAGGTCTTGAGAATGTTATCTGGGATGAGTTTGATCCTGTGACCCCTGAGGACGTGGACAGGATTCTGGGTAGACTGAACGCGACCACTTGTTTATTGGACCCGTGTCCTTCCTGGTTAGTACTGGCTTCCCGGGAAGTGACACGAGGCTGGCTCCAGGGGATTATAAACGCTTCGTTGAGTGAGGGTGACTTTCCCGCCACCTTGAAAGAGGCGGTGGTGAGGCCTCTCCTCAAGAAGCCTTCCCTGGACCCGGCAATGTTGGTAAATTATCGTCCGGTCTCCAATCTTCGCTTTGTTGTGAAGGTTGTTGAGAGTGTGGTCGCGCAACAGCTCCCCCAGCACCTGGATGAAACGACGTATCTGGATCCGTTCCAGTCGGGCTTCAGGCCCGGGTACAGCACGGAAACGGCATTGGTCGCGTTGGTTGATGATCTCTGGAGGGCTCGGGACAGGGGGTGCTCCTCTGTCCTGGTCCTGTTAGATCTCTCAGCAGCTTTTGATACCATCGACCATGGTATCATGCTGCACCGGTTGGAAGAGTTGGGGGTGGGAGGCACTGTGTTGCGGTGGTTCTCCTCCTTTCTCTCTGACCGGTCGCAGTCTGTGTTGACAGGGGGACAGAGGTCGACCCCGAGGCCCCTCATATGTGGGGTGCCGCAACGGTCGGTCCTCTCGCCTCTCCTGTTCAACATTTATGTGAAGCCGCTGGGCGAGATCATCCGTGGTTTCGGGGTGGAGTACCATCAGTACGCTGACGACACCCAGCTGTACATCTCCACCCTGGATCACCCCAACGATGCCCTTGAAGTGATGTCCCGGTGCCTGGAGGCCGTACGGATCTGGATGGGGAGGAACAGGCTCAGGCTCAACCCATCCAAGACGAGTGGCTGTGGTTTCCGATGTCCCGATATAGTCAGTTGACGCCATCACTGACTATTGGGGGTGAATCATTTGGCCCCCACGGAGAGGGCTCGCAACTTGGGCGTCCTCCTGGATTCACGGCTGTCTTTAGAAGAGCACTTGACGGCCGTGACCGGGAGGATTTTTCATCAGGTTCGCCTGATTCGCCAGTTGCGTCCCTTTCTGGATCGGGACTCTTTACGCACGGTCACTCATGCCCTTGTCACCTCCCGCCTGGACTATTGCAACGCTCTCTACATGGGGCTCCCCTTGAGGAGCACCCGGAGGCTCCAACTGGCGCAGAGTGCGGCCGCGCGGGTGGTAATGGGAGCGACATGGCGTTCCCATGTAACACCTCTCCTGCGCGAGCTGCACTGGCTCCCGGTGGTCTTCCGGGTGCGCTTCAAGGTTTTGGTTACCACCTTTAAAGCGCTCCATGGCTTAGGACCTGGGTACTTGCGGGACCGCCTACTACCACCAATAGCCTCCCACCGGCCGGTACGCTCCCATAGAGAGGGGCTCCTACGGGTGCCGTCAGCCAAACAATGCCGACTGGCGGCCCCCAGGGGGAGAGCCTTCTCTGTGGGGGCACCTACTATCTGGAACGAGCTCCCCCAGAGATACGGAGGATCCCGGATCTGCGCACCTTCCGCCGCGCCTTAAAGACCTTACTATTTCACCAGGCCGGCCTGGCCTAATTTTTCCCCCTCTTTTATAAAAGATTTTTAAAATTTTAAACATCTTTTAGTATTTATATATTCAATTTTAAATTGGTTTTAAAAGTTTGGGGTTTTAAATTTGTCGGGGCCAAAATTATTTAATTTGATTTTATTCTATTTTTTAAATTTTGTATTGTATGTGTTTTTATTGTTTGGCTGTGCACCGCCCTGAGTCCTTCGGGAGTAGGGCGGTATAGAAATCTAATAAATGAAATGAAATGAAATGAAAAGGAATGATAGAATTCATGAAATATTGAATCAGATAGTTGCCAGAGATCTATTACTAAAAGACAGTTTAATTGGTCCCCATCAAAAGCCAATGAAGTAAGGGTCAATTGCAGCATTTGGTTTGCCTTCCAATGCAACATAATTATTGTGGCTTCATTCTCTAGGGCAGAAATGTGAACTCTGGCTTTGTGGATGTGCATTCACCTTGGCTGATGTTTTGCTGGGAGCCACATTACACCGCCTCAAGTTCCTAGGACTCTCAAAGAAATACTGGGAAGATGGCAGCAGACCCAACCTACAGAACTTCTTTGAAAGGATACAAAAACGTTTTGCCTTCAGGAAAGTCTTGGGGGACATCCATACTACCCTCCTCTCAGCGGTGGTACCCAATGCATTCAGGCTGGTCAAACGGAAACCTCCATCCTTTTTGGGGGCCTCCTTCCTCATGGGATCTCTAGGGGGAATGGGATATTTTGCTTATTGGTATCTAAAGAAAAAATATATCTAGTGCCGGCTGTTTTGATGTTTAGTTTGATGTCTCTGTGCTGTGTGAAACTATGATGAATCTTCAGTAACTATAATGAAATTTGAAACCAATATGAATAACTATACTGTTAATGTAACATTCCATAGTCTAGAAGTAGGAAACCTATACTGCAAGGACGCAAGTCAACAAAAATATTCAAGTTGTACAATGCCTTTTTGTAGGTGTCAGTATTACAAATCTATAAATCGTGGGGTATGTTTATATACCCGCTGTGGAACAAAACAGCCTTTTAGCACAGTCAAGCACCACCAGGAAACAACTAGCAAATGAATTACAAAACTGAGAGATGGGATTCCCTGTGGCACTTCTAAATTTTTCCACAAGTTTTTCAATCACATAGCACATTATTTCCCTTACAGATGCAAATAACAAGGACTTTTCTATAAGCTATTTTTGTGTTGTGCTTAAAAAAGGATTAAAAAAACATAGAGCAGATGCAGTGAGTTGGATCACAATAGTTTGTGAAGTTTTAGCATAAAATGATGAGTTTTTTTTTCTTTGTATTTTCAATTTGTTTGGATTGTTTTTTTCAGTTAACTTGCATTTAACTATAATTCTCTTGATTTTTTTTTTCAATTTTTAATTATGTCTCTGATTACGGCACTTAATTTCACAGATGAAATTCTGATTCATCAAAGAGTTTGTCTCCAGCTTGTTTCCATGAATTTGCCAAGTGTCTTTCACCAATGGAACCTTTGTGGACTCTTAAGAACATAACTGTTTTCATTAGTTCTAAATAATTTTCAAGAAATTTGACCCCCCCCCTCCTTTTTGGGGACTTTTTCCTCAGTTATTTTTCTTGTTGTGTATTTTTATTAGAAAACACTTTGCACAAAAAAAAAATCATATTTCTCACTTTATTGTGCCTTTTGCATGTTGGAAAGAATAATGAGCATCAATGCTATTCATGCTTAAAATACTTCTGAGAACTCAAATAAATCATATGGGAAGAGTAACAGCTTTATATTTCTAAATGTGGTCTATATCAGTTGATTCATTTCCAAAAATAAACCGTGTATACATGTGCAGTAATGACTTTCTGCACTTTGTCAGAAGAGTTTATTCTTCTTAAATAAGTAATACAGAGTAGAGTTTATTTTAATTTTATAAAGTGACCGTTTAAAAGATAGCCAAAATAGCAGCATAAATGAACAATCATGAGCTCAAAATTAAATCTTGACCATGTGTACTATCATTTAGGTTCTGTAATTTAGCGAATACATTACAGGAATACAAAATACAATTCTAGATAAAATAGCTGTCTTGTTTTCAAACTGGTTTTTGGATTATTATGTTTGACCTCAACGAAGTCAGACTTGATCCAAATAACTGACCAGGGCAGCCTCTGCATGTCTAGGTATTGCCCATCTAATATGGGGCACACCAAAATAAAGCCATATCATTTGGGTTTCATGCCATATAGCTTTCATTGGCTTTTATTATGATGGCTATAGTTATTTACAGAATCAAAGTCAATGTATTCTCTGAACATCAGACACTGGGGAGTTTGTAATGCTTTCATGTTTTGCTTGTTGACTTCCCAGCTAGTATCTGGTTAATCACTATGGGCAACAGCAATTGAGATTTTATGGGTTTTCATCTGATCCAACAAGATTTTTCTCATGTTTACATAGACATTTTAGCCTATTAAGTGCTTAGTAAAATGCATCTATCTCAGAACAGGTAATTAAATGCTGTATATTTGATGACATGATTATGGTGCTAGATAAGACAAACATGTTGGAATCTATCCTTTCAGAGCATTTGAAGAAGGTTTTTCTTCCTTGGTACCAACTTAATATTCAGGTAGAAATATGAAAATGAAAATTTGCTATTCCTCTCTTTATTGAAATTGTTCCCTTTCACATCAGTGGCTCTGGAGAGTGCCCAAGGATTAAAGTAAAATCACAACATACAGCCCACAGTACCCATGGTTAAACTTAAACCAATAACCCCAATCACAGAAAAACACACCATCAATAATGGAGATTGCCTAATATCCTGATCTAAACACATGAATTTATGCATATTGAGCTGAATTAGCTGAGTTACAGAAAATACTTCAAAAATGAAGATACAAGTTCTTAAATTTTCCTGAATTCTAGATATTTAATACAACAAGCTTAAGCTATTCCAGAGTAAGCAATATACTATATGTCTACAGAATATGCTGCTGGCATCTGCTAGATTGCAGGCCCTCTGAAAAGCTCTTTGATCTCATCTTTATTTATGTCAAAATACTTCTGGATACCTCCTAGCTCAGGTCTGTTAAACTTGCAGCCTGCGGGCTGGATGCGTCACACACTGGCCACACCCAGGCCTGATTTAGCAAAGGGGGGGGGAGAAAGTCACGATACGTCACATGACACTGTGATGACACAAGTTTGACACCCCTGCCTCTTAAACCTAATGGCAATCATTATAAGATGGTGCCTGTGATATACTCTGTAAACCCAAATAATACCTTACATCCCAAAAGGTATCTGTCTCCTGGGGAGAATGCAAAAGCTACCTGAATTATATTTAATAAAACACTGTGAATATTCCAGCACAATTCTGAAGTTGTACAGGTATAAGTGGTACCAACTGAATTTTATCTTGTTTTGTCAAGTACTACCTTTCTTTCCTTGCAGTCTTAAAATAAAAAAGCCAACAGCTGCTACCAGAAGTTTCTGGATAATCCCCTTCCAGAAATACTTCCCAAGAATAAGGAGATCTCAAGGTAATGCCAAAATATTCATTACCAACAAAATGTGTAAATAGCTACATCACCAGAAGGAATGCCACATGCCTTTACATGTTAGTTTTATTGCTGATGTAAGATCAACACTCAATTTTTATACTCTCCAAATTTTGAATATTAGATTATGAAAAGGTTGCCTAAGATGAATCTGAGGGCTGTGTGGTTTATAAGGATCTGATGGAAACCCTAACCCTAAACTTTTTAAGATGAGTAAGAGAACATGTTGTAGGTTTTTTAGATGATAAAGTTATTCTCATCTACTTAGGATGAATACCAGTTGGGTATTGAGATAGGGAAGGAAATATTATGTGCTTTGATCTAGGATTCTTCTGATCTCGTGGGGCCTGATGAAGTGAACAGAATATTGTGTAGGGTAATTTAAGGGCACGCATCTTTAATATCCTTGCTACTATAGGTAAGTAGCATGCATTGTTACAGCTGCAAGAGATTTTGAATAGCTTCAAAAGCATTGGATTAGATCCATCTGCAGTTGCACCATATTGCAGTTATTAAAACTTGCACAATTATAACCATTCAATTGGATGCTTTTTCCTGCCCATGCCAGGTCACTCCCAGCTAAGGACAAATATTTCAGATGTGGAAATCAAACAGTTCCATACACATAATAATCTTCAAATTTTAATGAGCATTTCAAGGAATCTTGTAACTAATTGGAAGTTTATGCAATAATACAAGGGACATGTATGAACATTCTAATATCTATTTATGCTGTTCTGATTATTACATATGTTTGAAAAATGATATGAGCTAGAACTTTCCTTGTTTATCCTACCATAAATTCATTTAATATAAGAATATACAAAATCTTTGCTGCTATTACTAGAGCACCTTCAAAGAGTGCCACCAGTTTATAATCTTCAACATACTGGAAAATAGAAACTATTAAATATATTATAAATCATGATACCATTTAACAATAATATTAGTTTTAATATCTTGTTATACTTAAATCTACGTTAGTTTTTATTTCACTAACTTGTATTTTTGGAGTGCATCCCCTGTCATAGTACTTAGGCCAAGTGTAACTCTTGGTCTCCCAAGTGTTCTAATCTACAGTATATTCTGCTTTAAAACAAGCTCAGTAACAGTTCTGCACTAATGGACAAGGCTGTAGCATAGATTGAATAGGACACATACTGGTTCACAGCTGGTTTAATATGGAAATGCTCATTAAAACATAGCTTATATATATCACACTGCCAGTCAACTAAAGATTGGAAATATTTCCAATTCATAAATCTCATGCACAAAGGAGGCATTTCAAAGCACAAAGAGGCAAGCTGTAGCTTGCCCATGACGATCCATACTCTTGAATCCTCCTGGTTAAATCACTCGTGTCAACTAAGGTTTGTACAAAATGTAGCCATGAAAGTAATGTTGCTTTGGCAGGGATGAAGTTGGGGTAGCTCAAATATTGATGAACCTTCAGTATTGCCCATTAGATATGCTTATTTGATCCACTTAAGTTGTAGTTAGGTAAAAATGTAAACATAGATGCTAGGTAATCACTATGAAACACAGTTCTTAAGCTTCCTCAAAGTGGGCTTAATTAAAAAATGCTAGTTTTGGACTTAGTTACCTAATGGCTACTGTCTGATTGACCTTGCTTTTAACCTTTGACATTCTAAACATCTTTCACTCCAGACTGCTATACTTTTTAAGTAAAGCCTCCTTGGGAGTTAAAATCCAGTTGTGAAAAATTCTGCTGCATCTCAAGAACTACTTTGCCTCAGTTGGCATTAGAACAGGACAGCTGACGGCACGATTAATTGCATTTATATGGTGACCTGCTTGCCAAATAACTCACCAACTTGACACTGACTGTATTTTTATTCAGTTTTAAAACAAAGATGCAAAGTATATTCCAAGTATCCAATGCTGTCTGTTCTAATACCGAAAGAACCTTTAACGAGTTCCAACTAAACATTTAAGAACAAAAGATAAAAGTCCCATACTATGCATGCTTTATTCAAAGCTGTTGTGAGCAAGTAAGCGGCTATATAAATTATTTAAAATAAACAAGTAAAATTTTCTGGAATTTTTTTTTAGTAAGAGCCTGTGGAGACGCAAGGGGCAGGAAGCAGAGCACAGGTATTTCGGTAAGTGGGAAAGCCTTGGGAGGGCTGGAGCAGGTGAGCACGGGCCTATGCTAGGCCTCCAAAAGCCTCCCCTGCCTGAGGCATCCCATGAGCCACTTAACAACCTGCACATTCATTTAACGGTTCATTGGGAAGAGGGATGGGGGCTCATTAAGTGAGATGCTTCACTTGACAGTTCTCAGAACATGTGCAAATTCCATTATGATCATATCTCAAGGGCTAACTGTAATACTTTCCTACTTTGGGTTTCCTACAATCTTTTCACCAAGTATTAACTACGAGATTTCCCTGCACTTCTAGAAGAATGTCAAACAGAAGTATTTCCAAAGTGCTATAATTATCATCTTGCTCAAGTGTGGCAGATGAAGTTTACAACATTCTTTCTGGGGTTTGTACTGGAAATCAATACATTTCTAAGATATCATTCTTGTTAATTTAAAAGTATTTGTTCTGGTATTAACTTTTTGAGCATTTCTAGAATCCCTACTAAAATATAACCCAAAACAGAAACCAGGATAGAGCTAACATTCTTGAAATATCAATGGAAAACCTGAAACTGATTTTCATGGCCAAGTCTGCACAACTGAAAATCTCACTTACACTTTGGAAGTCAAATTAACCATTTGCAGCACATTAAAGATAGCTTAAAATGAAGTTTGACACTGTAGTCATGAGATACTCAGAGCTTTACTTTGTTTGCCCACTTCGGGAAGCACAGATTAATCTGTTGTCCATTACAGTTAGCAAAATACATCAACAATTCTATTTTACTGGTACACCAATTGCTACACCATCATGGCACAAATTACATTAAGAGGTAGGGGAGAAAAAGCAGTGCTTTTTACCTAATAATATGTATTAAAATATGTTTCAGATTAAGACATTACTGTAACACAACTGGCAATATAAGTAGTTTAGCTAAAAAAAAAGAATTGTTTATAGAATGCTTGCCTATACAATAACAATGTTGATACATCATACACAGTTAACAAAATGTACATATCTGTAAAATATATGCATTTCACTTCACTTCTCTCAACCCTTTTTTAAACAATACAAAACCAGTGCTTAAGAAATATGAAAAATATTATAGCAAATATACTTTATGTAAGTCTGTGTATAGCAATGCTGAGAAAAATTTCAGCCAACGGAAATGTATAATACTTAGGGATTGCTTAAGAATTCACTAATTCTTCAGTACAGTACAACACAACATGGAACCAATTTGTATACTGGAATATGTGGAAGAATTACAGGAGCCATGAATGTAACCTGACTGGAAGATGGGTTGCCAGCCATAAAGGCTGCTCCTCATATACTATATAGCTCAGTTCATGATAAACTAACCTACATAGATAAATGCATATTTCTTTTCACAGAAGATTCCAAAAGAGCTTACAAGACCAATAATGGTAATATAAACTAAGTCTGCTTCTAATTCCACTGATATATACCATTGATCTCAAATTTCCACCTCCATAAAACTCCCAAGTTTCATTGCCAATGTGACTATTCTTATACCTTTTCACTAAGGCATTATTTAAATCAGGGGAAATGACATAAGAATTTCATCTTTAAGTAGCTAGCACACACAAATTTGACTGCATGACTTTCCAAGTATCTATCTTATAGTATATAGAGAGGTACCATACAAATCAAAAGTACTTGAAATGGCATGCCTGTTAATACGAACTCCTGAACTCAGGCAGTTTGTAAGTAATATAATTAACATGAAGACTTCAAACTATTTAGTGTTTCAATCATATCCAAACCTGAAAGCTCTGGAGTTAAGTTAGCAACCTCTATCAAGACAATTAGAAAACTGAAAAGTTAGCACAAGCTTGAGCAAATCATAGACAACATGCAATCACATTTTTAAACTCCCAAGATATTTATGTGTAATATTTATTAATGTAACATTTATTTCTGGGGGGACATAAACTTAAGATAAGTGTGCTAGGCTTCCATAAGACATACCTACTTTCCATCTAAAAATCCCCCCAAAACTTAAAAAACAATCAAACATAGAGACACAAAGACAGCAAATATTTTCAGAACCAATGCCTCCAGTGGTATCAGTACATGCCTAGCATGGCCTTGGAAATTAATTTTTTTTTAAAAAAAAGTGTTGTCTGACTCAAAAAAGATCCTCACTTTAGCTTAGTAGCTGCAAACTATGCAGTTTTGACTTTTAAATGTATAGTAGGAGATCATAAAATTTAGTAGGCTGGATATAATATATAAAGCAGCAACATTCATTACAACTGGATTATTTTCCAATTGTATTAAAAATAATTGCACTTGTAGTGTAATACCTTTAGTCAAAGTGCAAAACTGTAGAAAACACAATTAATATAAATATATTAACATTGTAAGGTTGTACCATGCAAGAAAAGTATCCAATGAACCTAAACAATAGTTTTTAAATAAGATTATTTTTTTCCTGTTGTGACAGATGGCTATAAAAACCAATATACTTTTTCTATATAACTCTCATGTACAATAAATTAGAATATTGCTATAGATTTCCTAACTGCCATCTTTAATTAAGAACTGGAAGAGCAGAGAATGTGAAAGCTGCAATCTTGCAAGCAACAGCCTGCTCTAACAGGATAGCTTTGATTGCAGATATAAAGCATTTTGTGACATTCAGGAGTACTATGTTGCCAAAAACACACATAAGACATTTTAAAGATTCTAAGCCAGATAAATTATAGAAAAAATGGTGCATGATGCAAGCTATTTCATCTGTACAAAGTTGAGTGTTGAAATAAACAGAATGGCGGGGACAGTTGTTTTAATAATGGCAATAAATACTATAAACTAATCTGGCTATCCATTTTTGTTTTAATATATGGATTTAAATCAAACTCAAAGAAAACTTTGTTTTATATCTTCAAGCGAGATCATTTGAGAGAAAATATTTAAATATCTATCATTTGGTTAATTATCAAATCCTCAAATAAGGTATATTCTTGGCCAATTTATCTTATCTAATTTATCTAACCAAAAATATGTCCATTTATCGAGTCCTTACATATGAGTTTTGCATCTAAGTGCATTATTGTCTATTAAAATTGCCTCTTCATAGTCAAAAGTATGGTTTTTAAAAGTATTTTCCTCTCAGGTTATTCTAGTACCAATCTGGTCAACAGTTTCCATTTAGTTAGCCAAGATTAACAAGGTACTGATATTATTAATATAGCAACCACTTTCAAGAATTATATCGCAAACTCATAATACAAACAGTATTTGGTCTTTTACCACTCACTTCATATTAATAGTTGTTTTAAAATTTAAATAATTAAAAATGAGTATTTGTTATAACAGGTTCTGATCCACAAACTGATCTTATAGCCTACAATTAGACTTTGGGAAATAAATTTAGATAATTAAAAATGAATATTCTTTAAAACAGAATCTGATCAACAAACTGATTTTATAGCCTACGATTAGGTTTTGGGAAATAAAGGGTTCTTTGGGGAGGAAATCCAGGAGATAAGGGTGACTTGTACCAAAACCTGTATGTTCCATACCAAGCAGAGAGGCCCACCAAAGTGCCAAAAATCTTGTCCCAAAAATCATGGAAATATACAGCAGTAGTAAGAAGCATGAAAAGCCAGATAAAAGTCAAACAAGCCAGTGCTAAGAACAAACTGGTCACCACTGTGTGCAATCTAGAACCACTAAAAGTTTTCACACTGGGCATCACAGCCATTTCTTCTAGAATCATTAAAACACAATATGAAAGGAGGAAGGAATGTCCTGAGATATCAAAATTTTGCCATATCCCACCAGCTTGTAGGCACTGTAGTTGGTTGGAATGTTCTTGAGTCACTACAGCAAGGGTTGGTGATTTGTAACAACTGCCTGTGAAGTCTTGAATGAACAAAAATGTACTTGTGCATGTATACCAAATGATAGTGCCAACCAGTAGTGAGAAAAGGCGAACAAGTACAGGCAAAATATTCTGGAGGACATTGTAGTTGGTGAGAGAGATGAACGGAAACAGCAGGCAGAATGTCCAGGCCCAAGCAAATTTCACAAAATAGCTGCCAGAGATAAAAGGAAGAAAAAAAATATAGTGAGCACCAGGCAACAGAGCACCAGGCAAAATCATGTAATCTACATGCATCCTGATTAATTTCTGTAACTATTAGGGGGGAATGTTGCATCCATACTTATAAACCCTGTAATAGGAGAGTCAATGTATGATTTCATCTAAAATAATGTATAGAATTCATGAAAAAATATAAAATGTAAAGGTCTAATTTAGCAGTTTTTAATAAACTGTGAACAACAGTTAGAACACTTCACTGTTAAATCCAGCTGCAGCTCTATGTAAATATATGGCCTGCAAATAGCAATTATATTTCAGTCCTGCTTATCCCACAGTTTTCTCATTTCTACCTGGGGACTGAATTATAATTATCATTTGCAAACCATATGCTAACATAGAGTTGTATTTCTTAATTGATGTATGTGACCAGTGGAAGACTTACTTTATTAATGTGACATTCTATACTTTTAAAGATAACTTGAACTACTTTGAAGTTAGAAACTCAAAGTTTGCAGCAATAAAAAATTAACTAATTAGCAGCCTTGCTATAATTACAAATGTAACAAAGTTATGTGGTTTACTTTTGGCTGAGTTAAACAGATTAGTATTTAGCAAAAGTAAAATCTCCTTTGAGCTGAACTTAAGTCTTGGTGATTTTGTAGCCACACCTCTGTACTTTTCTTAATAACATTGCAGTCATTTGCCATTACCCCTTCTAAAACGTTTTTAACATCCTAATCTTATCAAGACCATAGGATTTTTCTGGCAATCTCTCTTCTAAGTACTAACCAGCTCTTACCCTGCTTAAATTTAAGAAACAACTTAAGTTTTTTACCAGATTGCAATTCAATTCATACTTATCTCTGGCTAGTAATTAACTGTACTATATGAATTAATACACTTATTACAACTAATTTTTCCCAAAGTTTAGAAAAAGCAATGATCAGTTTGCCACTGGAGTAAATTGCCGAATAGGGACCATGAGGTTGCCTTTATTGGATGTGTCAGGCAGACCCTGAAGAATTATATGTAATTTGGATTCCTTCACTCAGCAAGATTTAGATAATTTAGATAACTTAGATAAGACTTAATAAAAATAGATAGCATAGGCTCACTGGCTCTTTCTCAAACTACACAACTTGGGAAGCAGGTTCCAAATGTAACCCCCAGGGAAGTGGGGGGGAGACAGAGCACCCTTCACTTCAATATAAAAGAGCCAACCCTCTTCTGGCTCATACTGTATGAAGTCAACGGCTTTCAGCAAGCCCCCTACTCTTTGCCCCTCTGCCAACCAGTGTCTCTCCCCCCCACTCATAGCGAGGCCCTGCCTCTTGATCCTTCTCTTCCTCCATCAACGCCCAGGACTCACAAGGGTCAGAGAAAGCCCCTTACACATTGAGCACGTTGCGCTTGTTACTCAGGTAAGTAGCAGCCGGCGGCATTAATTCTTTAACAAGGGATCCGATCACCATGAAGCTCATCAACGCCCAGGGCATCATCCGCCGCACAGAACAGTGGGTCAAATAAGGCAGCAAGAAGCGCGTGGCTCGGTCCACAGACTCCATGACGGAGGAGTCGGCAAGCCCTCAGCGAAGGAGAAAGCGGTGACCCGCCCGGCACGGAAACCTCCAACTGCCGTATTGCGTCGATGCTCACGTCAGCCGGCTCCGCCTCCGCCTCCATTCCCCTCCGCCGCCCCCCCCCCCCCTCCTTCGCCAAAGCTACTATATCTGTCTGGAAGGAGGCGAGACAAGATGGATAGAATGCGCATGCGTGGCAGCGCAGGCTTCGCGAGGCTTGTAAATAAGTCCCCGGCGGTTGAGGTTTAAGTTTGTCATCTTCCGACTGCGGCTGCGTGATAGTCACGTGCTGTTCACTGTTTTTTGGCTGGATTGGAGTTTCTAATGCTTTGGTCTTTCGATGCGCTTAATTGCACCTCCTGTCTCCCCCAATGCGTATTATTTGTGCTACACGAAGAAGGGTCTTTTTCTCAAATTAAAGAATTCTAATCTTTTCTCACAGAGTTGTTTGATTATTTTGGTTGCTCTCTTAATCCCAAAGGTGCTTTTTAAAAGGCAACTGGATTTTCTTGGGTTTTTTCCCCCCTTCGGAAACTTTTTGCTTCTCATCCAAGAAGCTTCTTCAATTCTGACTGAATGTTGGGGAGTAGAAGGATTTACGTCCAGTCCAAAAGCATCTTTGTGACAATCATGACCTGGATGTTTGAGAATCTCTAATAGACGTTGCTCTCAATTTTTTTTTTTCAAGCTCTCTCATGTTCCTTTTCAAATATGCTTCCAGAATTATACTCTAGATGTGGATGTACCACAGATTTATATAAAGTTATTACAATAGTGGAGTCCTTGATGTTCTCTGAGCTTGGGCATTTGCTTACAGATGTCAATTTCCAACATCTGTGCTGATGATTAAAATTAGACTCCACAGTTAATGTTACAACCAGAAACTACATATATTCTCTTCTGTGGTGGTTATTACAGTGTTGGCATTTTTATCTTTAATCTCTTTCCTAGCGATTTTTAGCGTGGAATTTACTACCTTCACTTGTGAGATTTGGATGCTTGAGTGAAGTGTTTTTCAAAAGAAAAAGATAAGGGTGAGATGGGGGAAATACTTGGAGTATTTGTATGTTTTCTTTTTATAGTGTTGTTGCTTTCTAACCTAACATTTCTAACATGAGGACTACACTACTTAGAATATTTCACAATTGGAGTGGCCAATAAGCCTAGTAAAATAAATATTACATATTAGTTGTATTGCACGTTGTGATAATTTTTTTTAAATTTGTAAACTGCCTTTCAGACTCATTGTCTCTCAAGACTGGTAAATTATATTGCAGGTAAGTGAATGTCTTTGATAGAAAAGCAATTATGCAGTTATTTGAGATCATTTCCAAAACAATATTTTATTTATTGAGAAGTAAACAGATGCTGGAATGATTAAATCACTGTATAGTATTAGAAGACATGACGTTATTGGCTACCAACCTTGAATTGTAAAAGACTGGCCAGCTGATTTTCAGGCCTTCTGGACCATTTCCGGCCTCTGAAGGGTCTCTGGGGGAGAGGGGAGGCCATTTTCGCCATCCCCAGGCCTCAAGAAAGCCTCTGGAGCCTGGAGAGGGGAAAACAGGCCTTCCGGGCCCACCGTGCCATCGCATGCCAAAAGCGGGGATCGCGCAGGGCGGGTTGAGCGTGCATGCGCAGGAGGGGCATTGAATTATGGGTGTGGGCACATGTGTGTGTGACCCCCCCCATGCTCCCCTCGCTTTTGGCACACAACGGCAAAAAGGTTAGCCATCACTGGTCTTCTGCTTTTGACCAGGGTGTTGAACTAGAAGACCTCCAAAGTCCCTTCCAACTTTTACTCCTAAGGCAAGCAAATCTCATAAGTGTAGAGCAAGTGATAAAAAAAGCTCTGCTCTGTCACCTTAGCCTCTTTTTCTAATAAGACAGAAACCAGGACCTTTGAAGCTGATCTCAGTACAGGTAGTTCTCAACTTACCACAGTTCACTTAGTGACCATTCAAAGTTACAGCAGCACTGAAAAAAGTGATTTATGGCCATTTTTCAGATTTATGACTGTTGCAACATCCCCATGGTCATGTGATTTATATTCAGATGCTTGACAAATAAACTCACATTTATGATGTTTGCAGTGTCCTGGGGTCATGTGATTATCTTTTGCCACATTCTGACAAGCAAGGTCAATGGGGAAGCCAGATTCACTTAACAACCAGGTTACTAATTTAACAACTGCAGTAATTCACTTAACAAATGTGGCAAGAAAAGTCATAAAATGTGGCAAAACTCACTTAACAATTTCTGACTTAGCAACATAAATTTTCAGCTCAATTGTGGTTGTAAATTGAGAACTACCTGTAGATTTTCTTAAGTACAGTCGGTCAAACAACTTGGTCCCTTTCTAAAAATTTCCCAAACCTGGGGCTCTCTAAATATCTGTGGAGACTTCAGATTAAAACTTTCAAAGTTAGTGGCTCCTTAGTAAACACTAGTGAAGATTTTAAAGGAGCACTTCAAATTAGAGCTGTAGTTATGCAATTGGATTGGGAAATAACTAGTTAGGTTCACAATTATGTTAATGTAGATTAGAAACCAGCAGGTGGTGCTATTTTACAACTACATTTTTTTACTTTTCTGTACAATTACTGATTCAAGCCACGTGTGGAAAAATCTTATTCAGAGGAAAATGCATGTCACCATATTTGTACTGCTGTAAATCATTCACAGACAAAAATCACCTCATCTCCACTCAAAAATTAAGCAGCATAATGCTTTTATTGTATCTTATTAGTTTTTCTTTGGGCATTTTAAAATATCTATGTGCCAAGTATGGTAAAACATAAGAAAGACTATGAAGGACCAACTCATTGCATAACAAATCCTGATGGGCTATTAATCTGCAGTCCTTCAAGCTCCCTGTTTCCTTCAAGTGCGCACTTCCGAACCGATAGAGAAGGTAAGTAGATTTCACCCGTGGCACTGAGTACTAGCCTGTAAATATCTATGTGTTTCCTAGGGAGCTGTGTTGTTATGTTGCCTGAGTGGATGTTGAGATGAGCTCTTATCACATGGCCAGGGTCCCAGGCTGGGGCACAAAATAAAGTTTTCAAGCCACAAATAGAAGTCGAGCAGGGACAGGGTCAATATAACCTTAGAGGGGTGTTGTTCCAGAGATTGGTCACCATGGCTAAAAAGGCTCTTTCTGGATCTCATCAGCCAGTACTCTTTAGCCAATGGTACCTGGACCATGCCCATCCATCCTGATTGGGTAGGACAAGGAGAGATGATTAGAGAGGGAGAGTACTGTAAGTAACCTAGTTCCAACCATGGGCTTTAAAGATGCTAACCAGGACCTTGAATTGTATCCAGAACTACACTTGAAGCAGTGTTGGGAAACAGTAATGTCACATTCACCAAGTAAATGACATTGTTAACTGCCTATGCAAATGCATCTTGCACCAGTTGAAACGTCTAATACTCTTTAAGGATAGCCCCATGTAGAGTAGATAGTAATAACCCAGCCTATTCAGCAACGGCTAAATCCAGCCAGAGGTTACAAAGGCATGAATGACTGCAAGCAGAGTCCCCAGGCCATGAACGGGTGCACCTGACATACAGCCCAAAATTACACAATGATGCTCCAAGCCATGACGGCCATTTGCTCCTTGAACAGAAGCCGCAAGTCCAGGGCGACTCCAAAATTGTGCATTGGGTTCTGTCTGTGGGAGTGTCATCCCAGCCAGAACCAAAGATAAAAGATTTTGGACCAGAAGGTCCAAAGAGTCAGAGCTGCTTGGGTTGAGCTGAAGCTGTTGTATCCCATCCTGACCCCACAGCCTTCAGGGATTGAGGCAGAACGTTGTTAAATGAATCATATAGTATTCCTCCATTTAGGGAGGAACAGGAGTGAGCAAGCAAAGTATGTTTTTAATTTGCTGCATTAGAAGTGTAAAAATCTTCATTTTTGTACCTTTTTTCTAAGTTTAGGAAAGGAAAAGGTAAGATACATGACTGAAATGTAAAATTCAACTTCCATATGTTAAATGCAGGCAGAAGGTACCAAGTTAGGAAAGGTTACACTCTTAGGTTTCCCTTATTGCTGCAGAAAAATTACTGTATTTTTAGTAGATGTCTAGTTACTGTTTAGAGTTCAAAGTCTTAATGCTTTTGCAGTGTGGAACATAATAAACTTAGACATGAAAGAAAGTCCAAAGAACTATGCAAGGAATCTGTCTCACTTTCATAAACTGATTTTCTGAGATGTATTTTCAGTGACCTTTCAAGTAGGAACTGTGAAATATGTAGCTAGCACAGGGCAGAATTCATTTGTATAAAAAGCATGTATAAACATTTTATTAAAAAAAAAATTTTTAGACAAGTTTTATTAAATTTTTCTTTTATATACATATTTTATGAACAAAGTATTGACTGGGTCACATTTTATACAACTTATAACATAATCATATATTAATTTTTATAATCTATTCCAATCTTCCTTTTTGTTTTTTCCAAATACAATTTACATATTTCAATTTCTGCCATGATATTCTTTTCCCCTACTTTATCTTATCTTAATCTTTTCTTAATACATCATGTATAAACAATATCACCATCCACCCTTCAAATCCTAATTTCTTAGCATTACTTCAATTAATTATCTTATTTCTCCACTTATAAAGTATATTTCTCAAAATCCCCATAACTTTTTAGTTATAAACAATGTACTTCATCTTATTCAATTTTTACATTAAAACTCTTTAACTTAATTTACTTTACACATCTTGTCTTAGTCTCTTCTAAGTACATAATAAACAATATCACTATCTGCCCTTAATTCCTGATTTCTTATTATAGGATCAATTAATCATTTTATTTCATCATTAACAACATATTATTTCAAAGTCCCCATCACACTTTTTTATATTTCAATTTTATGTTGTGATTTCAGTTATTTTCATAATTGAACCAAATTACCACTTCATATTTCATCTGCTGTTCATTTTATAATACACAATATACATCATCATATTTACTTTTTACATTCACAATTACTAATGTTAGTACAATTCCCTTAGATCTACTAATATATGCCTTATTTCCCTTCCTGCTTTCCACTCT